GCAAGCAGCACGCCAAGGTCACGTTGAAGTCGTGCGCTTGCTGCTAGAGGCCGGCGCCAAGAAAGACTTGGCAGACAGCAGAGGTGACACGGCCTTGCTTCTGTCATTGTCGTCTTCAAAACTACATGTCCAAGTTGCACGGCTGCTGGTAGAAGCCGAGGCCAACCTTGACTTGGCGAACAACAGAGGGCGTACGGCTCTGATACTTGCAGCTCTCCGGGGCCATGCTGAAGTCGCGCGGTTGCTGCTAAAGGCCGGCGCCAGCAAGGACTTGGGGGACAGCAATGGTGATGCGCCGCTGCTCTTGGCAACCGCGCACGGGCATGCGGACGTGGTATGCTTGCTACTAGAGTCGGGTGCCGACAAGGACTTCGCCAACAACTTTGGGCTTACGCCCCTCATGCAGGCAGTTCGCTCAGGCTCTGTTGAAGTCGTGCGCCTGCTCTTCGAGGCCGGCGCTGACACGGGCTTGCCCAAGAACGACGGCGAGACAGCGCTGACACTGGCCTCCAGGCACCTAGCGCCTAAACCCTAAACCCTAAAACCCCTAAACCCTAAACCCTAAACCCCTAGGGCTGGCTTTTGGGATATGGTTTTGTATTTTCCTTCTCTGAGGGTCTGTAAGGGCACCTACATATAGATTTTTTTATTAAAAGCTACCTATAGACATGTTTCCAAGGGGCTAAACCCTAAACCCTAAACCCTAAACCCTAGACCCTAAAGCTGAACCCAGGTGCGGCAATATAGACATCCAGCGACTTCTGTCGGCTCCTGGGTCGAGGAGGACTTCCCGCAAGCGCCGGAGGCTTGCCTGAGGCCCCCCTGCTGTTTGGACCAAAGGAAACGTAGGGTTTCGGGTTTAGGGTTTAGGGTTTAGGGTTTAGGGTCTAGGGTTTAGGGTTTAGTGTTTAGGGTTTAGGGTTTAGGGTTTAGGGTAGGGTTTAGGGTCTAGGGTCTAGGGTCTAGGGTTTAGGGTTTAGGGTTTAGGGTTTAGGGTTTAGGGTTTAGGGTTTAGGGTTTAGGGTTTAGGGTTTAGGATGCAGGGTTGAAAACCCTCAACTTGGGGGCCCTTAATACCCTTTACGACGATAACTCCGACTAGGATATGAACCCTAAGTCAAAGACATTAAAGACCCTCTACTGCTCTAATTCCTGTTCGGGTAGTATGACCCTAAACCCTAAACCCTAAACCCTAAACCCTAAACCCTAAACCCTAAACCCCTTTTAGGGTTCCTTTGGTCCAGTGAAGCCTGCGGAATGAAAAGGGAAAAGATGCGTCATGCGGCCCATAAGACTCAAACCCCTCTCCCCCTGACTCTGGACTGAACCCTAGCTCTGAAGGTTTAGGGTTTAGGCTTGACCTAAACCCTAAACCCTAAACCCTAAACCCTAAACCCTAAGCCCTAAACCCTAAACCCTAAACCCTAAACCCTAAACCTGAGGTTTTGGGTTTTAGGGTGTCGGGTTTCCCCGCAAGACCTCCAGCCCGGAGCCAACCTGCAACCCAGCTTTCACCCTGTGCCTTGAAGAAGGGCTCCCAGGGTTCAGGGCTTTTGGGTCTATGGTTTAGGGTTTAGGGTTGAGGGTTTAGGGTTTAGGGTTCAGGGTTTAGGGTTTAGGGTTTATTGAAATTATTCAGGACTCAGGTTCGGGGAAAGTTTCGGGGACCGTTTTGGGGAGTTTCGAGCATCTCAAGTCCAAGCATTCACTAGTCAAGCTCGCTACTCTGGTATCGAATATCTACCCACCCACCTCTTGGATTCCATAACATGAGGCAAACCCTATAGCCTAAACCCTAAACCCTAAAGCCTAAACCCTAAAGCCTAAAGCCTAGACCCTAAACCCTAAACCCTAAACCCTAAACCCTAAACCCTAAACCCTAAACCGACACCCCTCTCGGAATCCCTGAGCCGTCCCAAGGCCCTCAAGGGCACGGATGTCCAGAAGGAAGAGCAGCGCATCTTCCAGGTCCGACAGTTTTCTAGGACCCGGAGTAGGCCCTTGTTGTTTCGTTTTTAGGGTCGGGGTTCCCTTATAACCAAACAGGGTCCCCTTTTCATTCCTAGGTTACTCCTGGGTCTATTTTTCCTTTTTTAGAACTTACTGCGGGGCCTTCGAATCCGGGGGACGAAGGTTTAGGGTTCAAGGTTGAAAGGTTTGGGGTTGAGGGCTTGGGGTGTAACCCTAAAACCCTAAACCCTAAACCCCTAAGGGTTTCGGGCTTAGGGTTTAGGAGTTCTAGAGGTCGCTACACGCCACATCCCAGGTGCCTAGACAAGATGATGTTTGCAGATGCTGACAGGGAGGGCAGAAGAACTTAGATGTAGGACCTACCCTAGACCCCAAACCCTAAACCCTAAACCCTAAACCCTATACCCTAAACCCTAAACCCTAAACCCTAAACCCTAGGGTAGTTTGGGGGGTCGAGGGGCCTTGCAGTTGAGAGTCGAGGGGTTTCAGGTTGAGGGGGCTTGGACCGGAACCAGGTCACACCCAGAAGAAGTCTTTCGGGTTTAGGGTTTAGAGTTTTGGGTTTGGAGTTTAGAGTTTAGGGTTTAGGGTTTAGGGTTTAGGGTTTAGGGCCTTTCGGGTTAGGGTTGTGGGGTTTTAGGGCTTTGGGGTTTGGGGGGCTGGTGGCTCAGGCCTTACCGGAAGGGGCCAGAATACAGTTCGCTTCAACTTCCCAACTCGGTGGTAAACCCTAAACCCTAAACCCTAAACCCTAAACCCTAAACCCTAAACCCTAAACCCTAAACCCTAAGGGACCCGCTTTTCTCTTCGAAATCTCTGGAACGGTTGTTCAAGGGTTCAAGGTTCAGGGTTTAGAGCCCTGAAACTTGATTCCTAACTTTTTACTTGTACACATGGCCAGTTCTGACAATACGATCCCTTTTTGGCACCCCATGACAGTAGTTCATCCTCTACATTCAGGGTACTCAAAGGGGGCCCACCATTCAACAAGCCCCCTAAACCCCCAAAAACCCCTAAACCCTAAACCCTAAACAACCCCTTAAAGCCCTGCCCTAAACCCTCAACCCCAAAAAGTCCGAAACCCTAAACCCCAACAGCCCTAAACCCTAAACCCCAAGGGCCCTGAACTCAAAATCCCGAAGCCCTAAACCCTAAACCCCAAAAGCCCTGAATCCTACAAGCATCGGGAGTCAGGGCTTGGGGTGGTTGTGTGGCAATACAAGCGCCGAAACAATTGTAACAGGGATATGGGGGTGGGGGGTTACTCGAGTATTTCATAAAGGAGGCCCACAAGGGAAGGATTAACAATTATAGAGGGAGTACCCTTGGTAACTTTCAAGAGAACCCAGAACCCTCAACCCTCAACCCTCAACCCTCAACCCTCAACCCTCAACCCTCAACCCTCAACCCTCAACCCTCAACCCTCAACCCTAAACCCTAAACCCTAAACCCTAAACCCTAAACCCTAAACCCGAATTCGAAGGTCCTGTGCACCTACCTCCAGCAAGAGTTCGGCCGCCTGACCGTCGACGCCCGATCCTGAGCCTGCAGACCCGCTGGGGAGATCCAAAAAGTGTAGGGCTTAGGGTTTAGGGTTTAGGGTTTAGGGTTTAGGGTTTAGGGTTTCGGGTTTAGTAGGGCTTAGGGCTTTTGGGGCTTAGGGCTTAGGGCTTGGGTTTTGGCTTTCGTCTTAGGGTTTTGGGTTCAGCGTTCAGGGTTTCGGGTTTAGGGCTAAAGGTTCCTCAGAATGACCCGATACCCTATACCCTAAACCCTAAACCCTAAACCCTGAACCCTGAACCCTAAACCCTAAACCCGATAGTGGTACTAGTTGAGGGCCGTACTTGTTGGATCCTCCCAGGGTTCTGGACCTGCAGTGCAGTTCCATGGGGGCCAATCGAAACCGGGGGGTCAACTTTAATTCCTACAAGGTAAGATGAACCCCAACCCCTAAACCCTAAAGCCCTAAACCTTTATAGGGTTTAGGGTTCAGGTTTTAGGGTAAGCCCCTAACCCTAGACCCTAACACACGACCTGACGAATCCCAGGTTGGAAATTCCCCCCACCAGATTGCCCTAAACCTTGACCCTAAACCCTAAGCCCTAAACCTTGAATTTCCTAAGGCTCACAAGCCCCTAACCCTTAGCCGAACCACCTGCAGCCTACAAACCTTTGAACACTGAACCCCAAAGTTTAGGGATTTAGGGTTTAGAGCCCTGTGATCACGTACCCTAAACCCTAAACCCTAAACCCTAAACCCTAAACCCTAAACCCTAAACCCTAAACCCTAAACCCTAAACCCACCCTTGAACCCTAGATTCTAAACCCTCATGCGTCCGATTGTGCAGGAAAAGGCTCAGGCAGTTGCCTTCGAGGCTCGGGGAGAATGTCCTTAAACCCTAAACCCTAAACCCTGAACCCTGAACCCTGAACCCTAAACCCTGAACCCTCAACCCTAAACCCTAAACCCCAAACCCCAAAACCCCAAAACCCCAAACCACCTAATTGGGGGGGTTGCTGGCCTAGGGGTTTTTGGGCTGCAGGTATTTGGACTTCTGGGATGGCTATACCGTTGAGCCTACAGGGGTTACGGTTCGGGTTTTGAGCGAAACATGTTGACCAAACTGTTTTGATTTTAGAGCCTGGGCTTTGTCATTTTGTTTTTTTTTTTGTTGGGGGGAGGGGGGAGGGGGGGTGCCTGGGAGGGCCATTTGTGAAGCAGCCTTTTGGGGGGCCTTTTTGGGGGAGCTCTTTTGGGGTGTTTTTTGGGTGACCTCTTGGCCGGCCTTTTTGGGGGTTCTTTTTGGAGGCCCTCGCGGTGTTTTTTTTTTTTTTTTGGGGGGGGGGGGGGGGGGGGTTTGTTTTTGGGGGGCCTTTTGGGGGTTCGCCTTTTGGGGGGCCTTTCTTTGCCGTCGGTTTGCCTGCTACCCTCTGCGTGGTGACGGTGAGATCCTCAGGCCCTGGCGAGACCAACAGCAGGACAGTGAAGCACTTGGAGGTCACCATTTTTTTAGATTTTCCACTAGGCAATGCAGGACGGCGCGGCCGCCATTGAGAGGCATGAGACAGGCCACGTTTTGAGTGAAGTTGATGCATTTCGAGCTTTCCTAGGCCTGGGGCGGTGCCTGCTGCATGTGTCGAATGAACCGAGATTCGGATACGACGGACAAAGGGTCGGGGAAGCAAGCAACCCTGGACTTGAAAATGAACAGCTCATGCTGCCCTGAACCCTGAACCCTAAACCCTGAACCATAAACCCTAAACCCTAAACCCTAAACCCTAAACCCTAAACCCTAAACCCTAAACCCTAAACCCTAAACCCTAAACCCTAAACCTCTTTGGTTCAGCTGATCCAGATGGTCGCCAAGCTGACGGGAGGGGGAGGAGGAGATGGCCTGAGATGGCTGGACCCTAAACCCTAAACCCTAAACCCTAAACCCTAAACCCTAAACCCTAAACCCTAAACCCTAAACCCTAAACTGCACGGGTTTAGGGTTTAGGGTTTAAGACTTAGGGTTTAGAAGGCTAGGGGTCATAAGGCTTGGGGTTTACAAGGTTTTGGGTTTTATACGTTTTAGGGCTTAAGATTTAGGGGTGTTTCGGATTAGTGTTTAGGGTTTAGGGTCTAGGGTCTAGGGTTTAGGGTTTAGGGTTTAGGATTTAGGGTTTAGGGTTTAGGGTTTCGGGTTTAGGGTTTAGGGTTCCGACAGGTGGACGGGAACCGGGTCTCCGTCAACTTTCCGACGCGGGAGGTCGAGTGCAAGGATGAGGCCCGCAACCCAAAAAACCTGGGTTTCGCGGTCTAGGGTTTAGGGTTCAGGGTTTAGGGTTAGGGTTTAGGGTTTAGGGTTTAGGGTTTAGGGTTTAGGGTTTAGGGTTTAGGGTTTAGGGTTTAGGGTTTAGGGTTTAGGGTTTAGGGTTTAGGGTTTAGGGTTTACGGTTTACGGTTTAGGGTTTAGGGTTTAGGACAACGCAAGTAAAAGTTTCCAACGAAACGTTTTCAACGAATTTGTTCAAAGTTTTGACCCATGCGTTTATGGCTGTTGTTTGTGAATTCGGAGCTTGGGGGCAGGCCAGGGGTCGGAAGAATTGCTAATAATATTCCCTTACGGCCCCTTTGTAATCATACTAAGCTCGGCCTGTTTAGGGTTTAGGGTTTAGTTAGGGTTTAGGGTTTAGGGGTTCGGGTTTCGTGACTTTGGGGCCCAAGGACAGACTGTTCCCAATACGCTGAACCCTAAACCCCAACCTAACCCCTAAGTTGACACCGCCTGAGCCCCAAGCCCCATACCCTAAACCCTAAACCCTAAACCCTAAACTCTAAACCCTAAACCCTAAACCCTAAACCCCCTTTGGGGGTTCATAGTTCAATAGTCAATAGTCAATGAAAGCAGGCAGCTACATGACACAGCCTGCACATCATGCAAACATGGCTCTGGAGTGCATAGTGTTAGGACGCACATGGCAGCATTCACTTCTAGCTACAAAGAGAAGTGCTACCTACTGCTGTTGGTATTCTTGCAAAGACTGCTACTCTTACTATGCTTACTATTTGTTACGACTACCAAGCTATCTCGGAAAGATAGATAGAGCAACAACATAGGGGTACCCCGTTTATACCCCAAGCAGATGAGAATCACCTGAAAAAAGGGACCCGCAAAAAGGATACCCATACAAACCCGAAGCCCCCAGAGAGCAAGAGGTGAAGCAGTCTACTCTCAAGGGATTAACGGAAGGGACTCTTCTAAGGGACGTTAGGGGTTATTTGGGAGTTAGGGGTTACTTAGGAAAATAGGGACTATACAAGGTATATATGGTGCTTGAATTGGGGAATCCTAAACCCTAAGCCCTAAACCCTAAACCCTGAAGCCTAAACCCTAAACCCTAAACCCTAAACCCTAAACCCTAAACCCTAAACCCTAAACCCTAAACCCTTCCAGGGGTTATATAGTGGAATAAGAGTGAGGGTCTACTCAGGCCTTCCAGAATCATATGACCATACACCGTCGTGATCAACCCAGGCCTCCAAGATCCTGCGCACTCACATAAATACTGAAAACCCTAAGACCTGACCCTAAACCCGAAACCCTAAACCCTAAACCCGAAACCCTAAACCCTAAACCCTAAACCCTAAACCCTAAACCCTAAACCCTAAACCCTAAACCCTAAACCCTAAACCCTAAACCCTGACCACCCGAAGTTGCAGGCAATGGCACAGCGTGTGCGGATGTCCCTGAGACGCTGCGAGCGCGCGCTTAGACCGATCCCCGTTTTCTGACGCGTGGAAAGCTAAAAGAAAGGCTTGCAGTGATTAGGGTTTAGGGTTTAGGGTTGGACTTTGGGGTGCTAGTAAAGATTGGAGTGTTAGGGGTTAGGGCTTAGGGTTCATGGCATGTAGGGTCTGTTGGGTTTAGGGTTTCGAGCTTGCAGACTGAGGAGTTGATTTAGGGCTTGTGAGCTTACGGGGGGTACCGGTCTTGGGATTCAGGCTGGAGAACTGGACCGTACCCGGGCACAGCACCGAGAGACTGCGCAAGGGCGCATTTCCGAAATTAGGGGTACCTTTCTGGGGTCCTTCTTCTGAGGGAATCCGACTATTTGGGGTCTATTTTGGGGTCCCCTGTATTCGTAACCTCCCCATATGAGCGCCTTGGCCCCGAAAGAACCAGAAGATGGGGGACCTCATCGAGGGCCCATTGAACTCAAATATTTGGGAGCCCCGTGGTACTTTCTGTTATGACTTTTTTGGGCGGTTTGAGGGAAAATTGCTAAATAATTGGGCCTCGTCATTCCTAAACCCTACACCCTAAGCCTAAGCCATAAGCCCTAAGCCCTAAACCCCAAACCCTAACCCTAAACCCTAAACCCTAAACCCTAAACCCTAAACCCTAAACCCTAAACCCCAAACCCTAAACCCTAAACCCTAAACCCTAAACCCTAAACCCTAAACCCTAACCCCTAAACCCTAAACCCTAAACCCTAACCCCTAACCCTAGACCCGAAGACCCCTATAGATTCTGCGCGCTCGTCTTGGCACTCAGAAGCGCTGGAACCCTTAGAAAATGTTTGCAACACAAATTGGTTTGGGGTTTAGGGTTTAGGGTTTAGGGTTTAGGGTTTAGGGTTTAGGGTTTAGGGTTTAGGGCTTGTGGTTGACGACACTCATTGATTCAGATCGCCGATCTTGCACCCATGCTTAGCACAGCCCTGAAAGGTTGGCTCCACCCCCCTGCGACCCCCACTATGAGTATGAGGGTAATGCTAAAAACCCTAAACCCTAAACCCTAAACCCTAAACCCTAAACCCTAAACCCTAAACCCTAAACCCTAAACCCTAAACCCTAAGCCCTAAGCCCTAAGCCCTAAGCCCTAAGCCCTAAGCCCTAAGCCCTAAGCCCTAAGCCCTAAGCCCTAACCCTAATCCCTAAACCCTAAACCCTAAATCCTAAACCCTAAACTCTAAACCCTAAACCCTAAACCCTAAACCCTAACCATCAGGAGTGCTGAACCCAAAGTAATCGGTGCCCATGCGATCTTCTTCGCGGGAACATCAGAGCCATGGGAAGCGGTGCATCAGCACCCCAGCTTGGGGAAGTCAAGGGCATCTTGGTAGCCATTTAGGGTTCTAGGGTGTAGGGTTCAGGGTTCAGGGTTCAGGGTTTAGGGTTTAGGGTTTAGGGTTTAGGGCTTAGTCAAGGGCATCTTGGTAGGCCCAGTGGTGCCCCTTTGTTCCCTTTTTGTGGGTTCAAGGTTCCCGTAAAAGTAACCAACCCAAAAAAGGGTGCCCTCGAAACCCTAAACCAAAAACCCTAAACCCTTATCACAAGATGGTTCCTGAGCTACCAAGGCATCCCCACCAACGCCAAAGGCGAGACAAAGAAGAAGTTCTCCGCTGCTTGCGAGGTGCATGGAAAGATCGTCATGGCGCCCTACAATGCAAAGCAGATGTGCGTCTATGACGCAGCAACGGAAGAGGTCACAAGCGTTCAGGTTCCCTGGGGACGACATGAGCCCTGAAAGGGTTTATGGTTCATAGACCTTAATAGGAATTATAGTAGTATGGGGTATATGACCCCCGAACCCCAAAACCCTAAACCCTAAGCCCTAAACCCTAAACCCTAAACCCCGATTTTGGGGTTCATTTGGTCCCCCAGGTTTCGGAGGCGCTGGGAGACGCAACTGGCACATCTGGGAAGTTCCACTCCATCTGCAAAGCAGATGGGAGGGTCTATCTCGCACCCTGGAGCGCTGCTCAGAAGATGCTCGAATCTTGGTAGGTTTAGGGTTTCGGGTTTAGGGTTTAAGGTTTAGGGTTTAGGGTTTAGGGTTTAGGGTCCCTTATGACAGTAACCAACCCCAAAAAAGGTACCCTTAGTTTGATATAGTTACTGGGCTACCAAGGAATATGATGTGGCCACTGGCCGAAGCACTGCTATCGATATCTCAGAGGCAGCTGACCCTACGGAGCCCAAAAAGTTTAGCTCCGTCTGCGAGGCATGCGGAAAGATTTATCTTGCTCCCTTCAATGCTGGGAAGATGCTTGAGTATGACCCGTGCACCCGCACATGCACTGGCATTGACGTGTCAGCTGCTGTTGGATCTGCTGAGACAAGCAAGTTCTACTCCATGTGCGCGGCTGATGGCATGGTGTACCTTGCTCCGCACGACGCTGAAAAAATGTACGTCTACGACGCACGTGCTGGGACGGGCAAAGCTGTTGATATTTCCGCTGCGGTCGACTCGAGCATGCCTTCCAAGTTCCGTGATATCGGAGCCGCTGCGGGTAAGATCTACCTGGTACCTCGGAATGCACCGGAAATGTTCATCTACGACCCCAGCACCGGTTCTGGGACCGGTGTCGATGTCTCCGCCGCAGCGAGCCCTGGCCTACAGGGCAAGTTTCGCTCATTCTGCGCAGTGGGCGATAGGATCTATCTAGCACCGGGTTGCGCTCCGCAGATGTTTGTATACGACGCGGCGACGTGCAGGGGGATGGCGGTTGACATCTCCGATGCGGCAATCCCGTCGGCAAGCGCTAAGTTTCGGGCGATGTGCGTAAGCGGAGGGAAGATATACTTAGCCCCACACAACGCAGGGAAGATGTTTTTCTATGACCCTGTTTTTTGCATGGGATCTGGCATCGACATCTCTGGCGCCACGGATCCTAACCAAGATGAGAAATTCGAATCTATGTGTGCATTCGATGGGAGGATCTTTCTCATTCCCGCGGCTGCGGAGAAACTGGTTGTCTGCAAAGATTTTGTCGCCGATCACCGGTTTGCTCCCGAGGGTGCAAGAATGATTTTGGACCAGTATCAGATACAGCTGGAATTGTTTCAACAGACATGGACCCCCAGACTTGCAGCTGCCCGTGAGGTCTTGACACTCGTTCGTGACTTGAGGTATACACAAAAATCCCTAGCAAGTGGGCTGTGTTTTGCACAGGAGTCTTCTTGGATCCTCTTGGTAGCCCAGTGGTGCCCTTTACTTGCTTTTAGTTCTGGGTTCCCTTACAATTAAAGAAACCAACCAACAAAAAGGCTACCCTGGCGGTACCCTGACTCTAAGATGGTTCCTGGGCTACTAAGTCTTACTTAAGGCCAGCCAAGGAAACAGGAGTCCGAAAAAGCTGGGATTTCCGCCGCGTACCTCCTGGAACCCTTCCTTCCCTACGTCGCTGAGACGGCCCCGAGAGGTCTTGGCTTTGGTGATGCTGCGCCCTCAACGAGTTTCTGGGCCAGTGTTCTAAACCCAGGTAGGCTCTTGAGATATCTTGTAACTTTTCCTTATTGGGTTTAAGAGGCTCATCTTTAGGTGTGATTTTTTGTGGGCTGTAAGGGCCATCCTAGAAGCGGAGTTGAGTATCTCCTTGCTCTACTTCAGCCCCAAACCCTTCCCCTCCCCTCCCAGGTTTCGTGGACATTTCCGTGGTCATGTTTGACAGAGAGACCGGGCTAGGTGCCAAGATCACTTGTCCCAGAGACCATGGGCAAGGTTGCGCTGGCGTGGATGCTGTGGATCAGACGTATCAGGGTCTGTGCTGTAGAAAATTTTGCCTTGAACGACGACTGTAGCTGAATATCACATGCGTTCAAGACGCCGTCAACAGTGGGTGGTTCAACTTCCTTCAACTGATGTTTCTCAACGTATGCACAAGAAATAATGCAGGGTTACAACAGGGATCCCCAAAAAGGGGAGTCACAATTACTTGTTTGAGAAACCCCAAGACCTAAATATCCTTTGGTTCTCCTTATTTGTCTCGAAATCATCCAAAACAGCACAGGTGTTCCACAATGCCCCTAGATCTCCCAATGGGCTCCTTTTCCCCTCTTGGGTTCCTAGGGCCCTTGTTAATTTGCCCCATACTTAACTCGCAGAGAGAGCGCCTCATTCATTCCTAGGTTACTGCGGATCCCAGCCATAAGTGCATCTCCGCCCACCCAATCTTGGGTTAGAACTAGGGGCCCTCAATTTTGGGATCCTTGTATGCCCAGAAGATGCCCCCCTAAACCCTAAAGCCTAAAGCCTAAACCCGAAACCCTAAACCCATACTAGGGGCCCATACTTCTAAGCTTGGGAACCATGGGCCCCTCGTCGGCCCGTTGTCCTTATTTATAGGGATCCGAAGTACTTGGGATGCTCCCCTGATACTAACAGGGTTTAGTAGCCCCTACTATAATCCTGATTCAGGACTGCTAGTAAAGGGGGAACATCCCAACTTGTAGCCTTAGACTGCAGTTGCCCTGGCAGTTTTGCAACCCTTGGACGAGGGCTCAGGATTCAGGTTTTTTGTTGCGGCTTGGGCTTTGGGATTGTAGTGTTTAGGGTCAGGATTTAGTTTAGGGTTTCTGATTATAGGGTACTCCCTAAGGCTCTCTAAGTGTCCCTAAGGTTCCCTCACCGACCCGCCATGAACCCCCCTCTCTCGAGGACTCCAAGCTCCCGACCCGTGATCCAGGCGGTTTAGGGTTTAGGGTTTAGGGTTTAGGGTTTAGGGTTTAGGGTCAGGTACCGGCGAAGGGCCACCCACTTTGTGTCGTGGTGCTGGCGATACACCCCGCAGCATGTAATTGGAGCCCTCAGAAATTGGTGCCGACAGTCGGACGCCAAAGCTGCCAACGTTTTTCTGTGGATGTGCTTCTTTTGCAACAATCAGTACAGAATTGCTGCGGCCACAAGTACTGCGCAGCTCAAGACGGTTTTCGAGTCCAACCTATCTTCCATTGGGAAGATGATCATCCTCTTGGATGACTATCTCAGCCCCGTTTACATCAGCCGTCTCTTTGTCATAGTTGGGTACCATTTTACATGGTTTAAGGGTACTTAAACCCAATAAGGAATTATTGGTTTCGATTTTTCATATGATCCCAACCATGAACTAGGTCTATGGTGCATTTTTGAGACCTACGTCTCCGTCGAGCAGAGCATTGAACCCGACGTCGTGCTCCCGGATTGCGCTGCCAGCAAACTGACGGATGAGCTCCGCCAGGAGGATAATGTCCTGGTAACTCAGGGATTCCTGGGAGTTTTTCTATTTTAAGTTTTTTTTAAGTTGGTGTTTCTATGTTTTTGGGTAGTGTAATTCCGAAGAAAGAGCTCAGATTATAAGTTTTTATTAGGGTTCCAAGTTCAGAGTAGGTAATGTTGAAGAACAACTTCCAGAGCATCAATGTGGCCAATGCAAGAGCTACAGTGCCTAGTGATGAAGAGGTGATCAAGACTCTGATCAATGAGAGCTTGGGAGGTCTCCAACAGCTGAACTTCAAACTTTTTGGGTTTCCTCATTTAGTAGGAAGAATCAAGCTTAACCCTTTTTTCCCCTTGGTTATTGGAGAAGTAAGGTTTTGAGAAGGTCAACACCACGGTCAAGAAGCGTCTGTTGCCACACTTGACCCAGGTCGTCAAAGGTTTCCTGGATTCATATTTACTGGGTGATGAGTAGTTTCCGCCAAAGGCGGGCAAAAATCTTGCCAGTAGCACCCTGCTCTTCAGTACGTCTTGCTGCGTATTTGTACAGCGAAGGGACCACCAGGGCCCCAACCAATTCTTGGTGCTCCAGCAAAGCCAATCTCATGAGCACAATTCTATCGAGCAAAGCGCGCTCTTAGACATGCTGAGACCGATCCCCCCGTTTTCTGACGCGTGGAAAGCAGCCAAAAAAGGCTTGCAGTGGGTTTAGGGTTTAGGGTTTAGGGTTTTTACTGTTTGGGGTTGGACTTTGGGGTTCAAGTAGTGAAAAAGGGGCTACCGTAGGCTCTACGCGTAGGCCTACAGTTATAGCCTATAGGCTTGGGCTTCTTTACCTTTTGTTTTTAATACCTATATATTACTATTGTTTGTTGTTTTTAATACCTATATATTACTATTGTTTTCTGTTCGGAGGGGGGGGTTCTTAAGCAAATAGCAGTAAATGGAGCAAGTATCAGGTAACCGAGTCGCTTGGGGCAAAGCTTGCTGCGTCGCAAGCGCACGCGGCGTCCCTGGAGGTCACGCCGTAAGCATCCCGAAAACCTACACCCTCAACTCTAAGCCCCAAACTCTAAACCCTAAACCCTAAACCCTAAACCCTAAACCCCAAACCCACGAGGCCGTGCCGGGAAGGGGGGGGGGAGTGTGTCAAGGGGACTCAGTGTGGGGACAGGGTTGGATTTCCGGGCTCAACGCGCTGGGGCGCTGAGAGTCTTTATTGTAGGGCTTGATACTCCGGGACGCGGAGTCGGCTTCGGGTTCATAAGCCCCCCTCCTCTCTCTCTCTCTCTCCCTCTCCCTCTCTCTCTCTCCCTCTCCCTCTCCCTCTCCCTCTCTCCCTCTCTCTCCCTCTCTCTCTCTCTCTCTCTCTCTCTCTCTCTCTCTCTCTCTCTCTCTCTCTCTCTCTCTCTCTCTCTCTCTCTCTCTCTCTCTCTCTCTCTATCTTTATCTCACGTAGGGTTTATAGGGTTGAGAGTTAATGGGCTAAGGTTTTTTGGTATATCTATATCTATATCTATATCTATATCTATATCTATATCTATATCTATATCTATATCTATATCTATATCTATCTATATATATATATATATATACTGACATATGTATTTATAAAATTGTTTGTGTGCGTAAGCTCATATTCCAGGGAAGCTTGTGTGCTGCGACATTTTGGTCCCACGCAGTCAGGCGTGGATTGGCCACGCCAGGGACCTAAGTTTCCTTGCAGCCTCTCTTGGACATGCTGAAATTTGCATGGTAAAGGGTGACCACATGTGAGAGACATGCACCCTGGGAAGAGCTTGCCAAGGAAGAATATGTTCACGAGACGTGTAGTCATGTAGTCTTCCGTGCAGCAGCTAGATCGGCACAGAGCACCCCTGAAAAGTGCCGGCGAGTCCGTCGGGGCACGCCATTGCGGCAGCTGCCCTCGTTGCGAATTGCTCTGGCAGCATGCTGCGCGTAACGAAGCTGTCAGGGGAGGAGGTGGCGAGTATTGCCGTCGGGGAGGTGCGCGATGCGAGGTCCTTGAAGCAGCGCTTGAGCCAGCTGCCAGGCGTGCCGGCACGCTTCCGGCAGAGGCTCCTTCTCGACGGTAGTGGGCTGGAGGATGCTGATGAGCTGGACTCCCCCATGGACCTGAAACTGGTGCTGCTGCCCTTCGCCGACGTTTCAGGAAGGCAAGCGGAGGACTTTGTTGAAGCTGCAGTCTGGGACTCTGCCGCCGAGGCGCGAACTTCTTCTCAACTGTAGTGGGACTCTTCTTGGATTCATACAATATGTACCCTCGATAAGGGTCAAAAGTATAGTTACCATACCCATAAATAAGTATAGTTACAATACTTCTTACCCGCGCCGCCCTCAGAAGTGGGGAAGGGTGCGAAGGAGAGTTGTCGACCAGATGGACCACGGTACTGCATACTATAGCTATTCCCATGAAACCTCAAATTGAGTGAACCATCATCCCCAAGCCTATATACAAGCTTTTCAGGTGGAGGCCATGCTGCACCTTCCCCACAACCCGAACTTGCTCGATGTGCGCGGCAGAGCGGCTCTGGTGCAGGCGTCCCGGAAAGGCCATGTTGAAGTTGCCGCTCTGCTTCTCGAAGGGGGGGCCGAGAAAGATCTGAAAGAAGACAACTCTATGGGTTTTACGGCTTTGACTGTGGCATCCGCCCAGGGCCACGTCGAAGTCGCACGCCTGCTGCTGCAGGCCGGCGCCGACATTGACTTGGCCAACAGAAGAGGGCTTACAGCTCTCATGATGTCAGCGCTCATGGGCCATGTTGAGGTCGTGCGGTTGCTCTTAAGGACCAATGCCGACAAGGACTTGGCGGACATGTCCGGTGTTACAGCTCTGATATGTGCATCTGGAGACGGACATGTCGAAGTTGCACGCTTGCTGCTGGAGGCCGGCGCCAACAAGGACTTGGTGAACAAGGCAGGTGAGACAGCTCTGAAGGTGGCCTCCAGGCGTGGCTGCTTTGGGATTGTGCGCTTGCTGTCGGAAGCTGATGGCTCGAGTGTGAGCACCGGCAAGCGCCGGAGGCTCTCCTAGCTCAAGTCAATCACGCCGAAGCAAGCCCTTGGCGGCACCCCGGCGCACGAAGAACCCGGTTCTGGAATCAACACCCCGGGTTATTTCGGGAACCGACAAATTATGCGGTCAAAGCTT